ATTAATAAATATAAAATATTTGTTCATATTTTATGATGAAATAATTTGGTTAGTCATAAAGGTCCCACAAGACTCCTTTTCCCCTCTTTTTATACCAAAACAGACAAAGACAACAACCTCTTTGAAAATTTGTGGAACGTTTTAAGAGTCAGATGAACGAATCTAGCAGGATGTAGAAAAATGCAATTAAAAAAAATATCGTAGCCTGTCATCTTTCTAATATACTATCAGTAACAGTTATGATTTTTAAAATTTTTCTTTTTACACAGATAATTTCCTTGATAGAAAACAACTCTGTGGTCATTATACATGGATCTACTGGTAGCGGCAAAAGTACTCAGCTTCCACAGTATGTCCTGGATCACAGTGCGCAGCGCTCTACTTACTGCAACATTGTTGTTACTCAGCCTAGGAAGATTGGTGCCAGCAGCATTGCAAGGTGGATTAGCAAGCAAAGATCATGGCCTCTAGGTGACCTTGTGGGCTACCAGGTACCTCCAACGCATTACACAAAATTAAAGCATGTGTTGCTGTCAAAATGGAAAATTATATTTATTTATTAATTTCATTTATATCCTACCTTTTCCCCAATAAGGGGGTTCAAGGTAGTTTGTGTGTGTGCCTTCAAGTCACCTGTCAACTTATATCTACTCCTTAGTTGAGGCTTCAATTATAGGTTGCTTGAAGAAGGGCCTGTCCAGTTAGCGTTGGAAACAGCCACGTTACTCATGTCCTCTGACCCCACCTCTGACTTTCTTCAGATGTTGCTAGGAGCTGTGTGAAATGCATAATGCTAGCCGTGATGAGGAATCTGTACTGAGGACAAGAGGCTACTGTCTGAACAGAACACTGAAAAACAGAATGGTTCCCAATTAGCAAAGGAGTCAGACAAGGCTGTATCCTTTCACTCTATCTGTTCAATTTGTATGCAGAACATATTATGAGAAAAGAAGGCTTGGACACAGAAGAAGGTGGAGTGAAAATAGGAGGAAGGAATATCAACAACCTAAGATATGCAGATGACACCATAATACTAGCAGAAAACCTCATAGACCTGGAACACCTACTAAGGAAGATCAAAGAAGAAAGTACAAAGGCAGGCTTAATGTTGAACATAAAGAAAACAAAAATAATAATTACTGAGGACCTTCACAAGTTCAACCTAGACAATGAAGAAATAGAAATAATAAAAGAATTCCCAAACTTGTGATCAAACATTGATAGAAATGAGGACTACACTCAGGAAATCAGAAGAAGATTAAGAATGGGGAGAGTAGCTATGAAAGAACTAGAAAAGATTCTAAAATGCAAAGGTGTACAACTCGGCACAAAAGTCTGAATCATACAAGCCATTGTATTTCCTATTACGATGTATGGATGTGAGAACTGGATAGTTAAGAAAGACAATAGGAAGAAAATCAATGCAATTGAGATGTGGTGCTGGAGAAGAGTGCTGAGGATCCCATGGACAGCCAAAAGGACAAACACATGGGTTCTAGAACAGATCAAATTGGAAACCTCCCTGCAAGCCAAGATGACCAAACTGAGACTGTTGTAGTTCAGACACATCATGAGAAGAGAGGACTCTTTGGAAAAAACAATAATGCTGGGGAAAGTGGAGGGAAGTTGGAAGAAAGGAAGGCCACATGCTAGATGGATGGACTCTATTAAGGAGTATTAAGGGTTTGCAAGAATTAAGCAGAGCAGTGGAGGACAGAGGGTCTTGGAGATGTCTCATCCATAAGGTTGCCATGGGTTGAGATCGACTCAAGGGCAGTTAACAACAACAAATAGGAGTAATTAGTTTGAAAGATTCCTAGACCAGATCTTAACAGTGAACAATTGTATCATTCATGAACTTCTACACTTTGAAAGAGAGGTGGTCACTTTTCCCCAGAGAAGGATGATTCTTGGCTTCAGAAGAGCATAGGGCCACTATCATTAAGCAGAATGGTGTAGTTGGCCAAATCTTGAGGTACCATTTAAGGTGCAGAAAATATAAAGTGGTGGAATATCCTTTGTCTTTTCTACTGCAGGCAGTTAACAAAATGGTTTGAGCCACCCACTGCTGTTGAGTATTGGGACAAATAGGTAGTAATCCAGGTTGAGACAGAGACTAAAGGCCTCTTGGTGGTTTATGCTGACATAGTTGGTGATTATGCCAGTTTAAGTACTTTGGAGGATATTGTGCAAGGAAGCATTTAGTGCCTCCTTGTATTGTAGTTTTCTTTGTATTGGACAACAGCAACAAAAGGCTCTGGGTGCAGTTTCACCTATCCCTGTAGACCAACCACCTCAGGTTGTTTTGGAAGCACTGGGAGAGCTCTCATCAGGCCCTTTCCTTTCTCCCAAATCTCCTATGTTCATCTTATTGACAGTGGGAGTTGCAGAATACCCCCCATATAGAGTAGCATGCCTAAGTAATAAAAACATTACAAATATAAATAGTATAGTGTTGGTATTGCTTTTCTATGCTTTTAATGTTCACTGTTTCTAGGCCAATTATAGAAGTCTTCAGAAAGGAACATAATTGTGTGTGCCATTGTGTCCTCTTTGGAACACATTTCTATTTCAAAGTAACTTCATTTTTTTCCAGTATTGGTTGAATGAGGCCCAGTGGAATATTTGAATGAGCAATTCCTCCTGTAATAGTATCTGTGTAAACAAACATTCACTGTTTTCATAATTTCTTCTAAATAAGTTTGAAAGAAGACATGTTTAATTATATTTGTAGGTTGGATTAGAAAAAGTTGCATCAAAGGAAACAAGATTGACTTATGTGACAACTGGTATTCTCCTTCAAAAAGTTGTTGGAGCCAAAAGTCTTTCAGAGTTCACCCACATCTTCATAGATGAGGTAAGTCTGGGGATGGGATAAAACTGCAGTCCTGTATATACTTACTTGGGAGTAAATACTTTTTGGACTATAGCTTGCTGAATTCTCCAGCCAATGTGACCAATGCTCATTTAGGTTGGAGGAATCTGCAAGTTGTAATAAAAAGGTAATTTTCCCAAGCTCTGTTTTGAACTCAAGAAGCTTTTACTTCTGAATAGACACATAGAAATAAAGACTACTTTAAAGAATGACATTTACTCCAGCATTTAAGTTGATACCTTTGGTGTGGAAATGTTATTCTGACAAACATAACACATTCAAATATAGAGATCCAGAATGCCTTAAAGAATATGCCTACTGCTTTTAAATGCACATAGGTCATATTCCTCTCCAGTCACTAGGACCCGTATGGACACCTGATGTCCTTGGGGAGCATAATCTCTTTCTCTCATGGATACACAAACAGGGCTGGCACTCCAAACAGTGCCATGTTCATCTTATTGACAGTGGGAGGCCCTTGGGTGGTAGTAGCTTGTGAATTTCTTCTAGTCTTCCTAGAGCTTTGCATTTTGTTTTGTTTTGTTTGGAACTGTCCACCAGATAAGATACATCCATTGTTTCCAGTCCTCCATCATGGTTCTCCAATGTTTATGCTATTTGTTTACCATTCAATTCTTCTTCTAAAAGATTGGATTAGACTCTTCTTTCTTGTGACTACTTGCCAGGGTCAGAGCATGGTACTGAAGAATTTGACAGCAGACAGCAAAGGAGCTCATAAGGATTCTTCTGTGACAAAGCATAAGCATGACAGACATTGTTTCTTTGGCTCATTAGGGGACCTAGCATCAATTCATAATCATTCAGAACTGAATGATAACTCTGTTTCTGCCTCCCCAGTTGCTGATAATGGTACTTTTAGCCTATTGCAACCATTATGCAAATATTCCCACCCATTGTGTGCCAGCATATTTTCAGATGTCTCCATCAGTACACCAACTCTTATGTTTCATAGTTTGTGGCGCCAACATCTCTTCCCATTCCTCTTGCTATCAGTTTTATTGGAATTGGTTTATTTCTTGATACACAGCCTTGTCATCCTTCCCCACCCCCAGCAATCTCTGGAGATTATCACACGGAGGATAAGGACAGGAGCGAAGCAGATCATTCCCATCCATATCCCGTCCTCATCGCGTAAAAGATTATCACACATGTTGCACTTGTCCCATCCTTCTCCCATCAGTGAAGTGGAATGGTCCCGCCACTTTGTATTAACGGAAATTCCCCATTCTCCAGCAGATTGTTTGATGTCGTAAATTATCAGATGGGGAAAAACCGAGGAAGAAAAAGGCATATCCTGGGATAATTGCGTGATCGCGCTGAAGATTTTCAGACGAGGTTGTGCTTATCCAGGACTTATCCTGGGAAGAACCAGGAATGCTCCAGCAACAGACCATTTCTGGGACTTCCCTGTGAATGGTTTGTTGCTGGAACATTCCTGGATCTTCACTGGAGAAGTCCTGGAGAAGTGTGATGTGTCTGAAGATCTTCAGCGTGATCACACAACTTTACTGAGAGTATGCTTTTATTCCTGGGTTGTTTTTTTCCCAGATCTGAAAATCTCCTACATTAGAGTCATACTGATAAGGCCAAATACCAATGTACTCAAATGTTCTGTTGACATTGTGGTGAATTGCATCTATGGGAAGTCCACCAGCAAGACTTGAGTGTATCTGAGTGTATCTCTCTAACTCACATTGGTGAACAAGTGATACACAGAGCCATACTGCTTCTGATATTGAAGGTGCAACATAGCTCCCCTGACAAGTAGCCATGGATCTGTCCCATCCACTTTAAAGCTTTAAAATCTTTTAAAGTTTTAAAGTTGATGGCCATCACTGTGTCTTGTGGCAGTGAATGAAAGTTATACATACTAATGAGACACACAATTATATGAACTAAAAAATCCAGGAAAAAACTCTACTCCCAGTTGCTTAATGTCATAATGATTCAGAACACAGGAAACCATAGAACTTTAGAATGTGATAGCTCGCACTAGGTCAAATCATTAGTACTTTCTATTCCAGAGGTAGGGAACATGTGCCTCTTCAGAATTTAGTTGACATATGGCCTGGTAAAACCCCCTTCAGAGATCCTGCCCCACATGAGGATGTCAAGAATTGAACTTGGGACCTTCTACATATGACACAGATGCCCTACCACTGAGCTATGAGCCTTTCTTAAGGGGCAGTGAGCTGAATGTGGAATTTGGTCAATGCAAAGCAAAAGCAAACTTTCTAAATGAGGAATTTTCTAGATGCCAAGCAAGTACTCAACTAAGCACCTCATTGATCATAGGGTCTGTTTAAACTTTTGCCCCTTCCCTATTATTTTTACTTTCTTCTTTTTATTTTATCAGTTTGAATATTTTTGCTTCAAGAAATATTTTCTCCCAGTTTCTGAACACACAAAGCACAAAGTTAAACAGTGGAATTCTCCAACTTTTCATTCCATTTGCTTCCTTTCTTATGTGGATTGAATGGCTATGTGACACTAGGTCTGATTACTTCCACCAATCTCATTCTTTATGGTCATCCTCTAAGCACTTAGCCCAGAGTCTGTGATTGAGAAGAGTCAGAAGACTGCCCCAATCTCTGAATCCACCTTTCATTTTTCAGAGCTAACCATGGTGGAGTATTAGGTTTGCCCTATTGTTTAGCACTGTGTTTGTTTTGTGCTTTCAAATCATTTATGACCTATAATAAGCCCAAGACAATCCTATCACAGGATTTTCTTACAAAGATTTTGTTTAAAGTGGGGTTGCCTTTACCTTCCTCTGAGTTTGAGAGAATGTGACTAGCCCATGGTCACCCAGTTGGTTTCCATGGCTAAGCAGGGACTCAGATCCTAGTCTCCAGAGTCATAGTCCAAACCTCAAACGATTATATCATGCTGTTTCTAAACATAGGTAGGTTATAATATGGATTTGCAAGGTGCCTTCTAATTCTGTTTTCATACTCTGTTTTGAAACTTTTAATGTCAATGAGGCAACATGTTTAGCCCCAAAGAGTGTGTGTCAGGGATTTTCTATGGAAGCATTTAGGAAATCAGGAATGGTAACCTCAGGACTCAAAATGTTAATCAAAACAAACTCATTTTGTGTTAAGTCCCATCATCTCTTGATTCTTTTTCAGGTACATGAGCGTACTGAAGAAATGGATTTCTTACTGCTGGTTATCCGTAAACTACTACACACCAATTCACGATTTGTGAAGGTAAACTTAAACTATTAGCATATTTCCATGAAAATAAGTGGTTGGGTTACCATAATTAAGGGCTATTAGTGTAATCACCAGAACTCTGACATTAATTAGCAGCTGTGATGGCTTTCAGGAAGTAAGTGTTGCATGTGGTATTGAGAACCTTGCAGGATCTCGAAATGGTGGTCGCAAAGAACTAGGCAGTGAGCTTGCAGAAACCAGTGATGACTGTAAAAAGGTTTGAGAAACTGGACACGGAAAGACTACATGCAGTAAATAGATGTTTATTTGCCAAATATATGCCAGATAGGGCATAGAATAATATTAGAAACCAGTTTTGATCTGTGGGCAGCCATGCAGGAAGTATTCTAGATTTATGTTGATCATTCCTTGCTCCTGCATTAAACTCCCCCTCCCAAGAAGGTTTGAATCCAGCACTGCTGTGGGAGCAGGAAGCTGAATAGTCTTATCCTGAGAGATCTGATTGTCTTAAAAAATAATTGACTTTAAAGATTACTCAGCCGCTTACTGCTTCCCTTCTCACTCCTTTTGCCACTGCCATCTGCTTCCAACTGTCACTCATTCCTCTGCAGAAAAGGGCATCACAGCTGAAACCAGCCTATTCAAAGCCAGGAGACACAGCTGGCACTGTCCTAAAGCGATTCTTGGCACATCAGAGGAGGATGTTCCAGCTGGAATGCTACCACGGTGGTACATGCTGTTTCCCCTGATATTAATAATGTGACCTGAGGTGTAGCTACAGACTTCCAGTGGTGTCCCTGAAGAAGCTATGGTCTTTTAAAACCTGGCCATCTGTTCTTAAAATGGTGGCAGTGATAACTGTGATATTAATCATTTTGTGGCTAAGATTAAAAAAATAACCATGAAGGACATGATTGTTTAGTATGCTGAGTGTAAAATTGCTTGAGTGTACTCTTAGTGAAGAAGCAGGAAAAATAAGATGCTGAGTAGAAGATGTGTCCCTTGGGTTTTAGCACCCTCAGGCATTCAGTATGCATAAAGAGTAGATACTCCAGGAGGTAAGTTAATACAAATGTCAACCAGAGATGTTTTGTTCAGAATGATTTTAATGCACCTTGATTCTCCATTTGCACCAGACTGATCACGCAAAGCTAGTGAATGTTATGTCAAAGCAAGTTCATGACTAATGTCATGTCATGTCATATGTATAAGCAAAGGACAGTCATAATTTTGCATGATTTTTACAACTGTATTCTGCCCTAAGCTACATATGTTTGTGCTTTGCACACTGAATAAACATTTTGTGCTCTTATTAAAATGATCATATATAGCAAACCAGATATTGCCCACATTTTGTTTTCAGCAAACCAGATATTGCCCACATTTTGTTTTCAGTTGTTTTTAATGTAGAAACATGAATACTGATAACAGGTTTCCACAATGTAGATAAAACAGGGTTCCTAGCATTTTGCCTGGTTTTACAAGGGCTTAAGATCAAATGTTGTATGCATGTGTGTGCATGCACTTGCATGTTTGTGCATGTAGGCATGTGCTTGCATGCACATCATAAGCATGTTTGTTCATTTACAAGTACGATGATGTGCATTTGCATATGCCTCCTTCACAGGAGCATGGGAATGGATCCTCCTCCCCACCCTGTGCTTCATTAAAGCAGTACTTCTGTGTATTCTAGTATAGTTGAGGACAACCTACTTAATTTAGGACACTCTCCCGCCAAAAATTGGCTGTGCAGTTTGGCACTGAAGTTCTGTGGCAAACTATTAAATATGCTAACACAGAGTGCCTGTATTAGCTAGCCAGTTGTCTACTGCAAAATGGGCACTTGTCATCTATGTAATACAGAGCAATTGACTAACACAGCCCAGTTAGCTTGTCAGTTTCCAGTTAAACAGATACCTTGGTGTTGCAAATGTTTCACATCGGGCCTAGAATAAGAAGAAGAACCCTTCTTAAAGGACGGGTGGGATTTGGGATTTTTATGTTTTATGTTTTATCTGTATGGAAATGTTAATGTTGTAAGCCGCCCCGATTGCTCTGCAGAGGGGCGGGATATAAATTATTATTATTATTATTATTATTATTATTATTATTATTATTATTATTATTTCCTCAGTTTCTTGTAATTCAAAGCCTTTAATTTGCTGCTTTGTTATTAATTTTGATTCAATTTAATTTGCTATTGCTATTGCTTCTAACACCTTTATAGCTGACTGTGCTACTCTACCACAGTAATCTAATTTAAATCTAATGGTGTCTCTGGCTGATTTAAAACTAATCCTTATTCCATTATGGATTCAAATCACTCTATAATGCATTTAATTGATGCTGTAAAGAATTAATTTCAATTGAAAAGACATTTAATTGATTAGTTAACATTCCATGCATTAAAATGAATTAACCTTTTCAAATAACAATTCCAAATAGGATTGGGTGGTCTTTATTTCTTAATACCATATGACAAAATATGCTTATACTAAAATAAACACATTTACCCTTTCAGAACCCCCCTCCCCTGAATCTTACTTGTTACTTAGGTGTTGTTTGGAGTAACTTGCTTTATGCAGGAAGAAAGAACAGGACAGGGATAAAAACAGGTGATAGGCAGTCCAACCCCCCTGCCACACAGGAAAAGCACTCCTGACAGATGGCCATCCAGCCTCAGTTTAAAAACCTCCAAAGAAAGAGGCTCCATCAGTCAAACAGCTGTTACTGTCAGGATTTTCTTCCTAATATTTAGGTGGAATCTGTTTTTCTGTAATTTGAATCCATTGCTTTGTGCCCTAGTCTCTGGAGCAGCAGAAAACAAGCTTGCTTCTTCTTCAGTATGCCTCCTTCTGTTCTTGTTCTGTACATTGAATGCATGGATTTTCCCTTCCTCGTGCTCCTATAAAGTCTGAATGAAGAGATAATTGATTGATGTTTCTTGAGGAGATTGTGTCTCTTTGGCATTGTCTCTTGTAAGTAAAGTGCAATGAACCAACTGAAGCTTTGTCTCCTAAATATGTTTCTCTGAACTTCCTTTTGACAGGTAATTCTGATGTCTGCGACAATCAACTGCCAAGAATTTGCAGATTACTTTGCGATCCCAGTTCGCAACAGATTATATCCAGCCTATGTGTTTGAAGTGGAAGGCAAGCCTCATGCTATTGAGGAATATTACCTTGATGATCTGAAATCTCTTCTCAGTCATATCAGGGTATGGAAAACAACAAACTTTTAGGTTCTGTTTCCCATTGAGTATCTAAAATATTTGAGACATTTTGATAAATAAGGAGATTGTCTTAAATTTCCTAGACATTCTCTCATTCCTATGGTAAATGAATAATGCAGAGTTGTGTAGAGTATCTTCCAAAAGAAGCTGAATTTCAAATGCCAAAATTCCACAACATTAACCATGCTGGATAGTACTGATGATAGTTGCAGTCCAGCAATATCTATTACCTGGCTCTAGCTTAATAGTTTCAGTAGGTAGGTAAGAAGATCTCCTGTAGTTTTTAATCTGTTTGCTCTTTTCATGTCTTAAATAGGGATATAAAATATATTTTTTTCTTGTTCTCAATGTGAAAGGATATCTTTAGCATACTCATCCTGTTGAGAAAATGTTCCAAGACTAAAAGAATTTTTGAATGGAATTTGGGACTTTAAAAAAACCCTTCATTTCTGCAAAAGAATTGACTTTTGTTAACACACATACACACACACACACACATGCATACATACAGTGTTGGCTTTGTAAACATTTTTCAGAGAAGCCCTGAAATGTGAAAAATCATTGAAAAATCCATTTTAAAAAACTTCTTGTAATGTTGCCCAATAAGGAGAAAACTTCTGAAAGTATTTGTTCATGCATGTAAGAAGACTGGTAGTAGAATCTTCAGTATTACTGATCAGATGGGACCTTACACCATATTTGAGGGTAACTGGCAGCTAGCTAACTTAGAAGTAGATAGGGCAATACTTAAATAGCGATGTC